GGACCCTCTCGAGGTGAGGTCCTTTGGGAAGCCTGGTGGGCTAGAAAGCCAGCACAAAGGACTCCCAGAGAAGAGAGCCTTAGAATGAGGTTCTGGTACCTTCCTAAGTTACTGTAAAAGATGCAGCTGACTGGCCTCACCTCACACTGCCTCCAGCTTGCAAAATCCAGCAAGGAAAACTGGATGGGTGCTGGGGAGAAAGAGACTTGGTCCAAGATCATCATCTTTGCTTAGCTGTCCCCTTCTAAGTAAGGACTTCGGTGATCACATTACTAAGATCACAACTCCCGACTTCCCCTCTTCCTCTGTCCCCATTCCCCTTCCCTGCTCTATTCCTCCCCACAGCACTGTCACCTTCTCATATGCTCTGTGCTTTCCTCACAGGGCTCATTGCCTTCCTCCTTCCACTACAATGGGTTCTCTGGACCAGCACCAGGGAAGAAGGCCATGATCATGATCATATGATCATGGTGATGTGATCCAAACTCAGAGCATGGATTCTCTGCCAATGAAAGAACTTCTACATCCCCGGTGCCTAAATGCCTGGCACACAATATTTATCATACGAATCAATGGCCAACCTTCTACCAACCTACCGTGCAGAGTGCAATGGGGGCCAAGAATTGGAAGGAGACGTGGAGGGGAAGGCACAAGGATGCTAGCACACAGTGAGCAGTTCTATGTGCTATAAGTATCAATTGAGCCCTTCAGAAATATTTAGAAATATTCGTCAAGCACTGACTAAACTGTAGATACCGGGGAAGGCTGTGAACAACCAGTCCTGGCCCCTGCCTTCACACTGAGTAAGACTGCCATTCCCATTTGATACAGAATCAGGCCACTGGAATTCAGAAAGGACAGGTAACTTTTCTAAGACCACACGGTTGTGTGGCAGAACTCCAATCCAAAGCCAGGTGTACCACGCTCCAAAGTCTGTGTTCTTTCCATTTAGCCTCTCTGCTTTCCACGAAGGGTAGGCAAATAGGAGCCATGCTCTGGAGAGGGCTACATGGGCAGAAACGTCTTAGTGAGGGCTGCCCCTCTCCCTCATGCCCCTAGCCCCCGTAAGAGTCACCTACTGGCCTACAGAGAGTGGAGGAGGTCACTTGCCTGGGACCTCCTACCTGGCACAAGCCCAGAGACTGTCAGAGAGAGGGGTCCTTCTGTGAGGCGGGTGCTGACGCCAGGACTCACAGCAACAGCATCCAGAAGAGGGAGACGCCAGGCAAAAAGGAAGGAGCTTCAGTGCCTTGTTCATGCAAAAGCCCCAGCTACCAGCTGACTCCCTAACTGTCTTCTATCCTCCCTAGGTAGAAAATAGGGACAAGGGAATAGCAACAAGAATCAAATTCATGTTAGCATGAGAAGCACGACAACTCATAAAAACAGCCCCAGGAGGCCTATTCTCTTTAACGGGTGAGGAAACTGACATTCCAAGAGATCAAGTGACTTGTCCAAGATCAGACCAGAACTAAGCAGCAGAGTCGGAAACGTCATCCGTGTCTCCAGCTCCTAGCCCAGCATTCTCAGGAAAAGGGATGCAGTCAATCTCTTCAACTCCCACATCGTGGGGTGTCAAGGGGGAAGTAAAGGGTCTGGCTTCCTTTTCCACTGCTGGGTTTGATAAATATCAATGCCTGACAACCCCAGGATCCATTTTAAGCACAAAAATGTAAAAGTGCTGAGTTAAGGAGGCTTCTGATGCCCAGTCTGACGTATTATCAAAGCCTGCAGTGGGCGGGGCGGGGGAGGCTGGAGGGGAAGGGCAGATGGGTACATGGAAGAGTCCCTGCCAGCTTACATTGCACATCAGAGAATAGGGCCACAACATGTATAATTCACAAAGATAACTGAGTTAAATACTTATATAAAACATGTTATTGGGGTTGCTTAAAATGAGAAATGCTAGCTATAGAATAACTAAGGACCAGACTAAGTGCTGCTCATCCATTACCTAATTTTATCTTCACAGCAACTCTCTGAGGATCCTGCTAGTATTTTCCCATTTTCCAGATGTGGAAACTAAGTCTTTGAGAACTTACGTAAATCGCCTGAGATGGAACAACTAGTGAGGGGCAGATTTGGAAAGTGAATCCAGTGCTACCTTACTCCAGAGCCAGCGCTCCTAACCCTTGTGCTGTCCGTCACACTTTCAACACCTGAGTGTTAGTACTGTTTGCTGAGCCCGACTACCACCCAGACCTGGTGGAGAGGCCCTTGTCTCCTCTCCACTTAGCCTCAAGTTAGCAGTTCGCAGAGGAATGCACCCTGCTCTCCTGTTCCTTAAACAGAACAGAGCTCTGCAATCCAGCTGGAATTTGTGCCCAAACGACATAAAAGACATCACCACCCCTCAGCCTGTTCCTTTCCCCCCTTCTATATTCAGAGATGCTCGGCATCGCCTCATTATACCTTCCGGGCCAATTTGGCTGTCAAATTGACTCTGAATCAAGCTCTCGCACAAAAGAAAATAAAACCGATTTGTAGTGATGAATCATCAGGGCTGATAATTTGAGAGTGGCAGGGATGGTGCACCTCCCAGGCCCTTCTCTCCTAGCATAATGGGCAAATCCTTACAGGGGGCAAGGCTTGCCTGCCAGAGAGCAGAATGGCTCACTGGCTCACTCAGCCCAGGGTGCAATGAAACACAGACAGAAGGAAAATCATACAAGCCTTTGCCAGCCTGAGAAGACAGCTTGGGAAACATATTTCCTTTACTTTCTTTTTTTTTATTTGGAGGAATTTGGGTCATATGGGAAGACTCATGCAATGTATTTCTTTCTTCCCTGGTCCTGATTTTATACATTTGTTTATTTACCTATATCCTACCTTGTTCCACAAGTGATATTTTATTTCTATTTTGCAGTATGCACCAATCCTTTACGGAACAAAGTGGAATATTAAGAAAAAGTGAAATCTACTTATTTCAATCACTTCCTTGCATCCTTTTCTTGATCCCTCTTTCCAAGTTCTAGGGTTTCAAACTGACTTTTCACGGTTTCAAACCAACTTTTCACGGCTTCCTGTGACTTAGATCAAACAACTGATTAACCTCTGCTGAGTATCCCCTGAGCCCCCTCCTCCCCATTGCTGTGCTGGATGCAAGGATGGACCTTGGGTGGCCAGGAGTCCAGCTGAGACCCAAAGGTCGGGCACGGAGCTTCCTGACACGGATTATTAGAGTTGTTGTAATATGAATGTATCATGGTGCCTGGTATTTCTGTGGAAACCACCTGGCCAAGGTACAAGGCCCTGACCTCACAGAGCCTGAGGCCGAGTTGGGGAAACATAATATTAATACTTGACCTGATCCAAACTCTGTTGAATGCTAAATGAAAGGTCCTTGTTCACAGAAGAACAAGAATCAGAACTATATGAGATTAAATTCCAATATCAAGCTGTCTGTTCAACTGTTCACTAATTACAGTTCACTCCAGACAAGGCAAAGAAAAGTACAGAGAAGAGAAGAGACATGAAAATATATTACACCTCCACATCATGCCAGGCACTGGTAGGAACTTTAGGTCCATAATTTTCATTTAATGTTCACACCAGCCCATGAGATGAGTATTATTATCCCTATTTTCAGATGAGGGAACTGAGGCTTAGAAAAGGTAAGTGACTTGTCCAAATCAGGGCTAGTAAATGGAAAAGCTGGGCTTGAAACTCAGTTCTGCGAGCCCTTCTCTTTTCTTTGTAGTTCCCACAGCTGGAATGCATGTTAAAAGGTGTCCAGTCCAGCTCCACATGTCCTGCTTGGATCCCCTATAACATCCCGGACAAGTGGATGGCAAGCTCATGCCTGAATCGCCCCTAGGGATGGGAGCACACCCCCTCTGGAGATAGGCTCCTTCACCTTTAACCCATTATACAATCTTAAAGGGCTCTTCGTGATGATGAAATCTGAGGGCTCAATCAACATTCGATGATAACTGTCCTAGCCTCAAGCCCCTTGAGCCCTCTCATCCCCGGAATGACACACCCAGTTCCCTCCTCATTTGACAAAAATAACTGGAGGCCTTCACCCACAAAAGTCAAGTCACTTAAATCATTGCCAAAAAAAGAGAATATATGTGTTATTTTTTTTTTAAGATTTTATTTACTTATTTGAGAGAGAGAGAGCAAGAGAGAACACAAGCGGGGGGAAGGGAAGAGGAAGAGGGAAAAGCAGACTCCCCACTGAGCAGAGAGCCCGATGCGGGACTCGATCCCAGGACCCTGAGATCATGACCTGAGCCAAAGGCAGATGCTTAACCGACTGAGCCACCCAGGTGCCCCCATATGTGTTATTTTAAATAAGCCTCAGCAACCGACTGCAACATTCCCCCTTTACAATGATCTTCAGGCTAAGCCAGATCCCCATCTTCTCAGGAGACAAAGGGAACCTGGGAACCATTTTCTGGACTGTATAATCAGGAGCTGTCCAAGACCAAGCATTTTCCAGAAGGCTGCTGTCTGAATCACCTCACCTCAGAATTTACTGTGCATAAAAATCACTTGAGGATCTTGTTAAAATGCAGATTCTGTTTCAATTGATCAGGAGTGGGGCCTGACACTCTGCATTTCAAACAAGCTCCCAGGTGATGCTGATAGTCCCGGAACCCCACTCTGAATAGCAAGGTGTTAAAGTACATAACCCACTTTGAAAAGGAACAGCCAAGCACACTTTCTAAGAGCTCTTTGGAAAGCTCCAGCATGGTTTTGAAAACGCATACCTATGGAATCTAATGTCAAATTCCCTTGGTTTCTTTCAGCAGTTTTGTGAGAAAGAACTGTTCACAGCATGACTTTGAAACCTACTGAAGGACAGACACTGAGAGTGTATGCATGTGAGAGGGAGGGTCCAAGCAGAATGGGAGAGGGAAGCTCAGACCCCTCCATGGGCCTGACAAAGAACAGAGCTGAATGAGAAAATCACTCCCCACCCCGAGCATGCCGCCAGCAGGGTGCAAAGCCTAAAATGAGCAAAGAGCTCCCCAGATCCAAGGTAAGAAGTCAACCTCCAGCCAGGACTCGCTGGAGCTGCTCCATCTTCATGCACGTTCCTTGCAGGACCTTGAGCCCCGAAGAGCTAGTGTGCACACTCAGCTCCCAAGCTTGGCTCAGGCATGCGCTGCAGGCACTGTTCTGTCCAGCAGCGTAGATCATCACGCCCTTACTGACTGGCTGCAGGCTGAGCCGATCAAAGGCATCAAACAAATAAAACTAGGCACAGGTCACTGTACCCTTGAACAGGAACTCAGATGCCCACTGGGCTGAGCTCCCCACAGCAGAGCCTGTATCTGCCCATTTCCCTCCGGACTCGAGCAGGGCCTGAACACAGGGCAGCACCAGCTGAGTAAAGGGCTAGAGAAGGAGTGGAGGAAGCCAGGTCCGGCCATGAAGCCACAGAGGCGCTGAGACAGAGACCAGCAGGCTGCTAGGAGCTCTCCTCCTCTGCAGATACCAAAGAGCCCCACTACCAACCAGCTAAAGGCTGGGTCTTAGCTTGGCAATTTATCTTCTCGGCTGGATGGAAGTTTGGGAAACATTTGGGGGGAGTCACAAATTGGAGGCAGGTGTATTGAGCTTGGCAAGCAAGTGTCTAAAAGTAAATGATCTGAATTCCCTTAGGAACAGTTCGCCACAGTGGCATGAATCCCTGCTGCTCACACCAGCCGGGCTACATCCCAGCTACCTACCTCAGACACGTGCATTAGGACTCTCAGATTGCACATGGCCAAGGAGAACTGTGTTTCTCCCAGAAATCTGCTCTTCCCCAGGCTTCCCCATCTCCATCAATGCCACCACCCTCCCCGATGCTCCTTTCCCCACCACAGTTGATCAGGACAAAAATGTGTGAAGTTACACTTATTTCCATTCCTTCTGTCATACCCATAGCCCTTCTGCCAATAAAACCTATAGCCCTTACCTCTAAAACATATCCTAACTCCTATCACTCCTTCTAGCTCCTCTCCTAAAACTCGGGTCCAAGCATCAAGGGCCCTTTGTTTAGAGGACCCCAACATCATCCCGGGGTCTCCCGCTCCACTCTCACCCCTTCTCCGCCTGCCACCAGTCCATCAGACTGCACGGCTTCCCTGCTTAAATCCCTCCAGCGCTTCTCACCGTGTTCAAATCACTGCCTACATATCCCTCCCTGATCTGACCTCCTCTCCTCTCCTCGTCCACTAGTTGACTAAGCTGCAGCTACACTAGCCTCCTTTCTCCCTCCCAAAGCCACCAAAACCTATTCCCATGTCAGTGCCTTTTCACTTGCTCCTCCTGCTTGGAATGCTGTGCTCCTGGTAACAAGGATTCCAATAGTATTGGCTCCCCTTCCAGGCCCTTCCATGTCCAGGTGCCAGTCGAAGCATTTTACATGTGCTAACTCATGCAGTTCTCTTCACGACCCTAGGGGGTTGGGCTATTGTTATCCCCACTTAATAGATGAGGTACCTGAGGCACAGGGAGGTTAGGTGACCTCCCTGAGGCCACACAGCTGGGAAATGGCAGAACCAGATTCATTACTGTGCAGTCTAGTTCCAGGGCCTTGCTCTGGAGCCACCACATACCCTGCCTCTTATAGATCTCATCCCTTACACAGAAGCCCCCTCACCTTTCAGGTCTCAACCCAAATGCCAGGGCCCCAGAGCCTTCTCTGACCATCATCCTCTCTCAAGCACCTGTCAGTATCTGGAGTTAAAACACTTCTCCGTCACAGACATGGACACAAGAGAGTATTAGCTCCCTGAAGGCAAGCTTCCAGCAGCCTATGCTCTGTATGCCCAGAGCTCAGAATAGTGCCTGGCACTAAGTCCCCTCAACAAATATGAACCAGCCTACTGCCTGGCTTATGCTACTGTCTGGCCTCTGAAGGCTTCTGAGTTTTCACTTTTCCATCTTGTCCTATCTTGTATATTATCTGTAGTCTCCCCATGGCCTGCTCCACAGGACAGAGTCCATGCCCGGATGCCAATGCACAATGTGGCCCCAGCCCCCCTCTCTGGCCTCAGCCCCCACCACTTGCCACACACCCCTGCACACCAGCCATCCTGAGCTCTCCACCTGTGGGTCCTACTCTGGACACTTTTCTACCCCAGGCCTTTATTCATGCCCTCCCTTGACTTTCATGTCCTTGTCCACTTTTTCCAACTAACGAATGCCCACTCACACATCAGGGACCAAATGTAACTGCCCCCAGTGAACAAGTCCCTCTGTGATCCTGCTGCTGTCCTCCTGACAGCAGTTTTCTGTCACAGCAGGTGGAGAGACTGTAGGCTTTAGAGTCAGATGGACCTCACCTGGAATCCTGGCTTCTCTGCTGTGTTACCAAACCTCTCCAAGTCATTTTGCTCATGTGCACTTTTAAGTCATAATACTTACCTCTAAAGGCTGTCAGGGTGGAAGATGACGTGGGGAACGCTCAGCACCATCTTAGCACACAATCACGATGAGATACTCAACGAAAGGTAGATGATGGTGTCAGTGTTATTTCTTCAGGGTCTACCTTTCCAACAATATGTGTGTTCCATGAAAGTAGGGACATGCTCTTAATCCCCTTTTTATCTTCACAGCTAAGTGCACGCATGACACATGAATCTCAGTAACCATCTACTGCAGAAATGCATGAATTAGTATCTTGGGATTCTGGTTCCAGATAACTCTGGGATCACAGGAGGTCAAAACCTTGCTCTGGTCCTTTCGTTTTAGTACTAATAAGGAAAAAAACTGAGAGATGCCTGCATGTAAGCGCCTCAGGATGGCCCACACTATGGAACCAGTGGCAAAGAAGATCTTTAAAGGAGTTTTAGTAGTTGAACTCTTGGGCGTTTTTGGAGCATATTTTTTGTTTTATAAGATGAACACAAGCCAAGATTTCAGGCAAACAATGAGCAAGAAATTTCCCCTCATCTTGGAAGTTTATCACAAATCCATTGAACAGTCTGGAATGTACGGAGTCAGAGAGCAAGATCAAGAAAAATGGTTGAACAGCAAAAATTAGGACCAGTCATCGCGTTCAGCCTCCCATCTAAGGCGTTTGAGACCTTTGTGGGGGAGAAGAAAGATGAGCACACCACATTGCAGACTCCTGGCCCCACAGAACAAAACAGGAACTTCTGGTCTGCCATGGCTCACAGTCATTTCCCATCCACTATGCAAATCCCCTGCTTTTGTTTGTTGCTTTCCTTTGGCATTTATTATTAAAGACTACTGTTTAACAAATAAAAGACTAGGAGAAGAAAAAAAATACTGAGAGATGGACAAAAACTGTGCATACAAGATCTTATGTTAGAAAAACTGACTTAGAAAAGGGGGCGAGGAGGACCGAAATGTGGTCTCTGGGAGGAGGTGGAAGAGGACAAGCTGGAGATGAAGAGCACTCCCAGGGAGCTGGCCATCGGAGGCCAACTTTACTAATTAAGAAAAAACTATTAAAACATACTACAATCTACTGGTCACCCAGCAAGAGATGAAGCATTAAGGGCAAACTGATCATTATCCATTTTCAGAGAGGGTGGTTGCGATTCATCAGTTGCATGTAACACCCAGTGCTCATGACACCAAGTGCCCTCCTTAATGCTCATCACCCGTTACCCCATTCCTCCACCCACCTCTCCTCCAGCAACCCTCAGTTTGTTTCCTATACAATTCCCTCTTTCTCTTCCCAGCACACACACCGATCTCACAACCCCTGACTGCCTACAGGATCGCAACAGTTTTTACCTTCTCCCTCTTAAGGTTTTTCTGCTAATGAGCTTGGAGTCTAGCTAAGGATCGTAATGAGCACTATGACAGAAAATTCCAGGGTACTCTTAGAGAGAGGAAGGTTGTAGGGGTGCATATTTTAGATTAGGGAGCAGAGTAGGACTCCCTGACGAAATTAAATATAAGTTCATGGTGAGATTTGAAGAAATACACTGCCTTAGCATCTCCACCATTCCCTCAGCTGGCCTCTGCACAGCCCTGCAAAAGGGAACCTCAAAAGAAAGGCCAAAGACAAACACAGCCAATGGAAACAGTTGTGTCTACTCACTTTGGGCAGGGTGTTAGCAAAGCTGCCTTATGAGAGTCATTTTCATAGGACTGCAGACCTTGATGTCCACTGTGGTTTATCACTGATAACACAGTACGGAGACAAAGCTCTGCATTTAGGATTCCAGGGCTTGATGTGAATGCCAGCCTCTCTTTGCCTGGTCCTGACTCCCTCATTCAGCCTCTCAGGGCCAGAGCTGCTTCTAGAAAACAGCTTTAAAAGCAGGATACATGTCCTGCCTTCCTCACGTTGTTGTTTTAAGAAAGGGCTAAATGAACTACCTCATAAAAAAACACTCTGTAATTTATAAAGGGATGAGGCTTTCAACAGGACTTCTGTTCACACTGTGAAATTTTATATTTCAACTAATACAGAAAATTTCCATGTTTTACTCCCCTGGACAAACACTGTGATCCTTTTATTTATCTCTCTATGTGCTATGAACCGAATGTTTGTGTGCTATGAACTGAATGTGTCTCCCCAAAATTCATACACTGAAGCCCTAATATGATGGTACTCTGTGGTGGGGTCTTCAGGAGGTGATTGGGTCATGAGGGTAGAGCCCCCATGATGGGATTAGTTCCCTTATAAAAAGAGGAAGAGAAATCGCCCCCTCTCTTTCTTGGCCATGTGAGGATACAACAAGAAGGCAGCTATCTACTAGTCAGGAACAGGGCCCTCACCAAGAACTGGACCCACTGGTGCCTTGATCTTGGACTTCCAGGCCTCCAGAACTGTGAGAAATAAATGTCTGTTGTTTAAACCCCCCAGTCTATGGTATTTTTGTTATAGAAACCCAAGCAGACTAAGACTAAGAGATCATATTTTTTTTAAGATTTATTTATTTATTTTTAGAGAGAGAGAGAGAGAGAAAGAGCATGAGTGGGGAAAGGAAGAGAGGGGGAGAGAGAGAATCTCAAGCAGACTCCCTGCTAAGCATGGAGCCCTAATGTGGGGCTTGATCCCAGGACCCTGAGATCATGATCTGAGCTGAAACCAAGAGTCAGATTTTTAACCAACTGAGCCACCCAGGTGCCCCCAGAGTCCGTAGTTAAAATAAGTAGATGTGATTAGTACAACAAAGATTAGAAGTGCAGCCAGGTGAGAAGATGAAGGGGGCCTGGTGTGCAACTTGACACAGGATGGTCAGGTAGGGCCTCTGATGAGAAGGAGATCTGAGCAGGTACCCACAGGAAGTGGGGGTGTCCAGAGAAAAGCACAGCAGGCTGAGGCGGCAGCAAATGCAAAGGCCCTAAGGTGTAAGGCGATGGCGAGAATGCACATTGCCGTGCCCAGCACATAATAAGCACACATTAAGCAGAAGCTATGTGATAATGACTACCATTCTCACTGCAGCCAAAACAGCCAGTTTCTATTGGTGAATGAGCCGAAGCCAAGGAAACCCAAGGCACCACAATGCTAGTTAGGTCCCCATTGGATCACAGCCTCCAAGTCAGAATTCAACTGTGGGGGCTCTTTTCCTGCTGCTACTGAAAACAGCCACATGGGGGCAGAGGCCGTTAAAGAGTAGTACCTGCACAGGAGGGTGGCCGAATAACTATTTCAACCTCGATTGGATCCTACCTCTTCCACACTTGCCCTCTCCCTGGCCCCAAACACAGCCTCTGAGGAGAAGAGGTCTCTGCAGGCATCAGATCACACAGTCACTCAGCTCCCACGTGTTGAACCCCTAGTGTGTGTTCAGCTCTGGGCCAGGCACTGGAGACACGGAGCTGCATCGAGGGGAGATCTTTGCTTCTGAGGTGCTCACTATTTGGTGGGGAGCTAGGGTGGAGAAAAAACTGGCTGAAGCAGCACCAGGGTGGACCTCAGTGCAAAGTGCCCCGAAGCACAGAGGAGAGAACAATCTTAGGGAAACCCACCTTGCATCCCCACCCCAGGCTACAGGAGGACCCCTCATCATATGTTCTCATTGAACCTCCTTCCTTTCCTTCCTTTCCTTCCTTTCTTTCATAGCATTTATGAAAATTGTAATGGAATCATGATTTGGGGGATTAATACCTATCTCCCCTGCTAGACTATGGGCCCCATGAGGCAGGGACCTTGTCTGTCCTATTCACAGCCACATTCCCAGCACCTAACACAGGGCTGGCATGTGGCTGGGGCACAGAAAGACACCATAAATAAATGAATGCGGCGGAACACCAAAGCACTGAATTCTGTTATGGAAACATGCTATCAGCCTCCAAGATGGTTCCCCGGAGCCTCACCTCCTCATGCTCACACCCTTGTGTGTTCTCTTCCCACAGCACATCAGGACTGACCACATGATGAACAGATTACTGTAAACGGGTGCTGTGTGACTTCCAAGTCCTGGCCATAAAACATCGCTACTCACACCTGGCTCTCTCATGGATCCCTTACTCTGGGGGAGCCAGACAGTCAAGTCATGAGGATCCTCAAGCAACCCTGTGGAGAGCTCCACACAGTGGAGAACTGAGGCCTCCCGCCAAAGCCAACATCAACTGGTCAGTCATGTGAGTGAGCCACATGGAAGCAGGTCATCCAGCCCCAGTGAAGCCTTCAGAGGACTATAATCCCCGCTAACATCTTGAATGTGGCCTCATAAGAGACTGTGGGCCAAAACCCACCGAGCTAAGCTGCTCTCTTCCTCGTCTTATAAGGACACTAATCCAGGGCGCCTGGGTGGCTCAGTCGTTAAGCATCTGCCTTCGGCTCCAGTGATGGTCCCAGGGTCCTGGGATCGAGCCCCGCATTGGGCTCCCTGCTCCGCGGGAAGCCTGCTTCTCCTTCTCCCACTCCCCGGCTTGTGTTCCCTCTCTCGCTGTCTCTCTCTGTGTCAAATAAATAAAATCTTTAAAAAAAAAAAAATAAGGACACTAATCTAACCATGGGGTCTACATTCTCATGACCTAATTACCTCCCAAAGATGCACCTCCAAATACCATCACTTTGGGCTTCAGCATATGAATTTGGGGGGGACAAAAGTGGCAGTCCCCAAATTCAAAGGCAGGAGGAATTGACACCAGAGCTGGCGCTCTTCCTAACACCTCTGTTAGGAGAAATCCATGACTCCTCAACCAGGGGCCACAGTGGCCTCCATCTCAGCTCCCCTGACTCAGTGAGTGACCCCGTGCTTCTGCCCTGCCTGCCAGGTGGAACAGGACGAGGCATGAACAGCCTGTGTCTCTCCCTCTCCGGGGCCACCCTCGGCCAGGGGAAATTCCTCATAGTCTGTGCCACTCTTCCTTTCTGGCCTAGTCTCTCTTGAGCCTTCCCACTGCCTCGCAACAGTGACGCTACTCTGTGCCTAAGTGATCACCCTGCCACTGGGGGCACCCCCTTCCCTCCTGCAGGGCAAACAGAGGGAGCATCCCAAGGCATCCTGGAATGAATACCCAAGACAGTGCAGAATCTGAGGCAAACTGACAGGATGTGATTCCAAGCTCCAAACCCACCCTGGAAACACTAGGCCACCACTAGGCTGCTCTTTTGGAAGAGGGAGTGCCTTGGGCCCTGAAGCCCACATCTCAGGAAGATTGTTCCTGGAAAAATAAAAAGGAAATTTATACTTCCAGGGCAACTACTCTGTATGAGCCGTGGGCATTTTACACATATGTCTATCCTCACCATTACCCTGTAAGACAGGCATCACTATCCTCTTTTTTCAGATGAGTAAACAGAGGTCCAAAGAGGTTAAATAAATGGCCCAAGGACACGGACAACAGTTGTGTATAACTGGACCGGTTATGCACTGCATAATTCTAGGGAGCAGAAAAACGTGACTTCAGAAGGGGTATAGTTTTCCAACTTGTATAAAGGCACATACGGTTCTATTAGATAACCACCAACCTCCTGGTCAGTAGTGGTTTGATCCTATATCTGTCTGACTCCAAAGCCCTTGCTCTTCCCCCCAGACCTCTATACCTTCCTTGGGATAGCTTCAAGCATTTCCACATCAAATTATTCACAGTTCAACCGGCAGA